CCTCCAGGTAGATGTGATCAGGAAATGGGCTTCTCTTTTCCCTCTTCTTCTTGAGATATTTCAAGATGCCACTGTTGGCCGTTTTTACATAATTTAGGATTTAATTTTCGGCCTGTTTCCTTTTTAGTCTACCTGTCCTGCTCCACAATCCCCATTCAGGCCTTTTTTCTAGTTATAAACAGTTCAGTGCTGGCTGTGGCCATTTGGTTTTAAGTGGAAACTGTTTCTTTAAATTTCTATAAGAGCTGTGCACCTGCATATTAGAACCCTCCGAGGGTGGAGCTGGGGTGTCCACTAGCTCAGGAACTCCTATAGTCACCAGAATGGAGGTGCACAGACAACAAGGGACCAATGAACAGATACCAAAACAAAAGAATATCCACACCTTTATCTCTGTGGTTCTGTCAGGCATCTGTGGCTGCTCTGATCTTCCCCTGCTTGGTCTTACCCAAGATGGTGGCTCCTGGAGCAGCTGAGCGTCTTGAATTAGAAAGCAATGGATTTTTTGCTTCTGCTACAAATTCCCCTAGTTGTAAGCCTTCCAACCTTCTAAACATTCCTTTATATGTGGTTCAGAGTTATGGGACCATCCCCTGAGCCTGCTCGGTTCTGTATTCTGTTGTTGCTGATGGAGCTCCTTATACTGCACTTCCACCTGGTCCACCATCTTGTTTGTTCTCTCTCACACCTATGTATTTTCACAGTAAAAAAAAAAAAAAAAATCACTATAAATGCTTATTTAACTACTTACCTTGCCAATATTCTAATGAAGATGTGCTATATAATGAGTTGCCGGAATTTCTTTTGTGTATGCTATTATGGTTTACAGAGTCCTGGTGTGACACTTTAGGATAAGCATTTGCCTGGTAACAGCACTGTTATTGGTTCAAATCCACTTGCCACTCCTCAGAGACCTTATACAGGGTTGCTATGAGTTAGAATCGACTCGTCGGCACTTAATAACATTACGCTTACAGAGTCCTGGTGTGGCATGGTAGGATAGGCACTGGATTGTTAACTGAAAGATTGGCAGTTCAAACTCACTAGCTGCTCTTTGGAAATGCTATCAGGGTTGCTATGAGTAGAAATGGAATTCATGGCACTTAACATCATGTTCTACATCGAAAAACAGTTCAGCAACTAAAAGTACTAATCTAATGCTTATGGGTCAGATTCTAATTCTGTGTTCAACAAAATGGAAACCCTGTCACGGATTTAATTGTGATATGTAACCCTCCCCCAATGCATACACACTGTGTGTCAGCTTGGCTCAGCCATCCTGCTCAGTGTTTCAGCAGTTATGTGATGGTTCTCCATGATGTGATCTGGTGTGGTAAACCATTAAGCAGATTTAGGGTGAAATACACTTTGATGCATGAAAGGGAGATTCCCAGGGGTATGGCATGTAACACCTTTTAAAAGAGTTAGTCTAAAAAAGAGAAGTGAGAAGAGAGACAGGCCCTAATGCTATCAAGAAAGAAAAGCCAGGAGCGTGTGTCCTTTGGACCTGGGGCTGCTGCGCTGTGAAGCTTCTAGACCAGGGAAAGACTGATGCCAGGACACTTGGAGATCTCCAGAGAATGCTGGGCGGGCCTACAGATGCTGAAAGGAGAGGAAACCTCGTACCACAGTTGGTGCTCTGCATTTGGGCCTTTAGCCTCCTCAAGTGTGAGAGAAGAAATCTGTTTGTTAAAGCTATTCCCTTACTTTATTTCTGTGATAGCCCGAGATAAGTAAGACACCTACCAAAGGATTTCTTCAAGACTGAAACAGATTAAAACTTCGAACCTCACTTCCAAAACTCCTTAAGTTTTTTCCTCAAGTAACCAAATAACAACACCAGGCTAAATTTCTTTTAAATTATTTTATTTTTGTGTAAGCTAAAAGGAAATTTACACACTTAACTCTCCAAAGACCTTGGCATGCACATTAACCTTGTTAGAGGTTCTTTTACATGTCTCTCTTTTTTCCATAGGAATTTCCCCAAACATTTAAAACCCATAGTTTTTACTCTATGTACAGCCTAAACCATAGCAATCTATGATTATGTCATTTACACTGTGCAAAATCCTCAAAAAAATAATGATACAATAGAGCAACAAAAAATCAAGAACAGAGAGATTTTCATTGTAAGACATTCATATAATTTGGTCCTTCTCCAAATCAAACTAATTTAAAACTGACACAATCTCTTTAAACCCCTCCAATCAAGTTCTGACAGTGATCCATATCCTAAACCAAAGAGCAATCGATGAAAGTCCCTTATAAAATGTCAAGCAGCAATATGCCAGATTGAAAGATTAAAAAAGAGCCCCCAAAGCCAGATCTGAAACAAACCCACTACACACAATATTAAAAAGAAAAAAATTTAAACAGGGACTTTAGAACTTATGAAAGCAAGAAATCCAACAGATGATGTGAAAAAAAATCAATAGGACACTCAATGTAGTCTGAAAAGACTGAAGGGGATTTCACAGACAGTGGAAATTTGAGTTTTTAATTTTTTTTTATTTCATTCAAAAGTTTTGTCAGAAGGACACCACCAGTGTATTTCACAAAGACATAAATGTATACACCCCAGCAACACAAAAAAGAATCAATCTTCAAAAATGTTTACCCCTGATTATTTACATTTTTTTTCTAATATAAATTTAGGACTTCAGTATGTAAATAAATATACATTACTATGTATACCTTTCTAGTGCGGCTTACCAACAATCAGCTGAACTTGAACCTTTTTTTTAAATTTTTTTTAAATGAGAGCACACATATGCTTTTGATGGTAGGGAGGGATGGAAGAAAGGAAAACCAATTGAAATTGCCCAATTCAATCAGCTCTCAGTCTGTTTTCTCTTGGGAGCTGGAAGATGGTGTTAATGTGGCTGGGAACATCAGCACCTTGGCATGCATGAAGGTTAAGTCAGGAAGGCTGCTGATCACCTTGATGGCTTCTTCACTTAAATGCTCTTCTCTTTTAGGTTTTCTATTGACAAAGAAAAAAGGAAACATTTTGTTAAAGGGACTTTGTATAGGTCAAATGGGAAAACATCTACTCTCTAATCTATGGGGACCTGAGTACCTTTTCCTCCACTAGTTCCTCAACCTTGTAATACTTTTGTATATGCTTCCTGTTCCAGATGCCAAATCTCTCATGAGCCCAATTGCTGAATATTCACTAAAGGTAGGCGCAGGCAATATAAACATGTATCCTGGCAAAGCTTACAGCTTTACTTAAGGCTAGAAGCCGTCATTCAGGCATGATTATAAGACACCACTAAGCAGAAGTGTATGGACTCTTGTGTGGTGCTGTAGGATCTGCATTGGACTGTGAACCAAAAGGCTGGCAGTTTAAATCCACCAGCTGTTCCTTAGAAACCCTATACAGGGTCAATGTGAGTCGGAACCAACTAAGCAACATTTAACAACAACAAAAAGCAGAAACTCAGTGCTGAAGGCCTAAAAATACTTTGCTTACCTGGAGCTCCTCTTCTTCCCATCCTCACTCAAACGACCTCAATATAAAAAAAAAGCATGTTTGGCACAAGGCCTTGCAAACCACTTCATCAGGCTTTCTTGATCCCTAGGCGAGGGGAATTCCAGAAGAGAAAGTCCTCAGCTTAAAAACACCTGGTCTTTGCCCTGCTGGGACACAGATGGTGGTCCAAAAGCAGAAACACTCACTGGTGTTGAGGCTGTACACAGGCGAGGAAGAACTCAGGGAGGGGACATTTCTAAATGCTAAGGTGTTTGTTGATGATGAGCATTTGACTACACTGTTCCCAGACACAAGTGAGCAGTTTAGTGTCTAGTAAACATCTAGGTCTTCTAAGGTAGTGAGTGTGGGTCACACACAATTGTAATCAAAGCCGTTGCGCCACCAGGATATGAAATACCTTGAAGGAATAGTTAATGTCATATAGCTATTCATTGTAGACCTAAGCTCATTTTAAACTGTTGACTGTAAGAAGCCCTATTCTCTTTCATGAAAAAGCCTTATTCTCTTTTGTGCTTAAGGATAGCTGGGGCTCTAACAGATGGAACACAAGTTATTTCTTCCACTCAAATTATTTTCTCTGTCCTTCGGATGGGAGGCAAGTAAGTCAGAGGTGAAGCCACCTTTATTTTATACTTAAGAGTTTTTACTTTGAGCCCAAGCTGAAATAAAAAGATTTCATAGAATGACTGAAAAATCCAACATTAGAGCTTTAAAACCAAAGTTCTCCTCTCAGGAGACAAGCTCAGACAGCTGAAAACTACAGCAGATCACTCAGGAATGAGTTTGGTTCTAGGATGTCTTGGAAGAATGGAATAGCAATACAAAACTGGTTACAGTCTACATTTTAAAGTTGCGCCTTAAGCCGTGACAGAATTACTGGGTGGATGTTTGTTGAGGAACTGGGTATGTGCATCATTCCTGAGTAGAACCGTGTAGATAACATTCTAGTCTGAGGCGAAAATGGGTGTTGTATATTGGAAACAGTCAGCCTCTCACCAAGTCACATTTAGCATCACTAGTGATGCAGTCAGCCAGATGTTCTGTGCCTTCTGATGTGACATAATACCACAGGCGTATGTGAGCTAAAAATGTTTACCCTGAATCTATCAAGCCTTTCGTCATAATTTTCAGTTAAAAGGAAATAAGGGGAATAGAGAAACATTAGTAGACAAATCCAGGGGTTGAGACATTCTGTAGTACTACTGGCCTGATGTCTTTAACAAAGCTAGTGGTACTAAATAGAACACAAACAGAAAATCACACACACAAATGGGATGAGAGGAGTTCTGCTCAATGGTAAGAAACTGAAGAGTCATAACATCTAGGAGCAATAGTTCTGGGCTGAATATTGGTTTGGGCAAACCAGAGGGAAGGACATTGCTGGGGAAATGTGAATATAGACAGTCTGGATATTAGATAAAATGACAATTTCCTGAAATTGACAGATGGAGACCACTGACAGCAAGAGTGGTTTCAGTTCAGTATGAACTATAAAATCTCATTTTTGGTTAAAAAATAAATTGTTAAGTGCTGTTGAGTTGATTCCGACCCACAGTGACCCTGCATAGGGTTTCCAAGGAGCAGCTGGTGAGCTTAAGCCACCCACCTTACAGTTCAAAAGACTTTGCAGTCTGACGGCACACCATGACTCATGTATGTATATATTTACATAGAAAAAGATCTGTAAGGATATGTACTGAGGAATTCTAATAGTTATCTGAGGACTAAGAGTACAATATTATCATTTAAATTTTTGGTTTGCATTTTGTAACATTCTTCAATATACCTTAAGCTGGACAGTGAATAAGGAAGAATTGAGATGCTTTTGAGTTATGGTGTTGGATGCCATGGGCTGCCAAAAGTACAAATAGATCTGTTCTGGAAGAAGTACAGGCAGAGTACTCCTTGGAGGCCAAGATGGCCAAACTTCGTCTCTCATACTTCAGACATATTGTCAGGAGGGACCAGTCACTGGAGAAGGATATCATGTTTGGTAAGGTGGAGCGTCAGAGAAAAAGAGGAAGACCCCCAACGAGATGGATTGGCCAAATGGCAGCATCGATGGATTCAAGTGTGGCAACAGTAGTGAGGTTGGCCCAGGATCGGGAAGTGTTTCGCTCTGCTGTGTGTAAAGTTCCTATGGGTCGGTACTGACTCAATGGCACCCAACAACAACTGTAAGCAATAATAAATAAAATCTCATATAAATGTTGCACTTGTCAGGTGCAATTGAGTCGGTTCTGACTCATAGCCACCTTATGCACAGCAGAACAAAACACTCTGTTTCTGCACCAGCCTCACGATTGTTATGTTTTAGCCCATTGTTGCTGCCACTGTGTCAATCTATGTCGTTGGGAGTCTTCCTTCAAGCATGATGTCCTTCTCTAGACACTGATCCCTCCCAACAACAAGTCCAAAGAATGAGAGATGAACTCTTGATATCCTGTATTCTAAGAAACATTCTGGCTGCACTTAATCCAAGACAGATTTGTTTGTTCTTCTTGTAGTACATGGGCTTTTGCAATATTCTTTGCCAATACCATAATTCAAACACACAGATTCTTTTATGTATGGTTTTCCTTATTCAGTGTCCAATTTTCACATGTGTATTGTTAGTTGCTACATGCTGTCGGGTTAGTATGTACTAATAGTCACAGAGCACAACAGAAAGAAACACTGCCCAGTTCTCCGCCATCCTCAAAATCATTGCTACACTTGAGCCCATTCTGCTGTCACTGTGTCAATCCACCTTGTTGGGGGTCTTCCTCATTTTAACTGACCCTCCATTTTAGCAAACATGATATCCTTCTCCAGGGACTGGTCCCTCCTGTAATATGTTTGAAGTATCAGAGATGACGTCTGGCCATCTGGGTTCTAAGAAGCATTCTAACTGTACTTCTTCTAACATAGATTTTTGTTTGCTCTTTTGGCAGTCCATGGTACTTTTCATATTCTCCTCCTACACCACAACACAAATGCATCAGTTCTTCTACAGTTTTCTTTATTCAGTGTCCAACTTTCACATGCATATAATGTTACTGAAAATACCATGGCTTGGGTCAGGAGCACCTTAGTCCCCAAACTGACACTGCAATATGCCGTTTGATTTCTTGACTGCTGCTTCCATGAGTGTTGATGGTTGATTCCAGCAAAATGAAGTCTTTGACAATTTCAAGTTTTGTACCATTTATATTGATGTTGTTAATTGGTCCAGTGGTGAGGATTTTTGTTTTCTTTACATTGAGATGTAACCCATACCAAAGGCTGTGGGGTTTTTGATCTTATCAGTATTTTAAGTCCTCTTCCCTTTCAGCAAGCAAGGCTATATAATCTACATATCACAGGTTGTTAATGAGTCTTCCTCCAATCCTAATGCAACATTTTTCTTCATATAATTCAGTTTCTCAGGTTATTTGCTCAGTATACAGACTGAATAAATATGGAAAAAGTATACAACCATGGTACACACCTTCTTAATTTTAAATCATTCAGTGTTCCCTTGTTCTTTTTGAACAACTGTCTCTTGGATCTATGTACAGGTTCCTCATGAGCACAATCAAATGTTCTGGAATACTCATTCTCTGCAATGTTGTTCATAGCTTGTCATGATCCACATAATAGAAAGCATTTGTGTAGTCAATAAAGCACAGGGAAATATCTTTCTGGTATTCTCTGCTTTCAGTCAAGATCCATCTGATGTTAGCAGTGACATTCCTCGTTTTAAGTCCTCTTCTGAATCTGACCTGAACCTCTGGAAGCTTCCTTGGAACTGCTGCAGCTGTTTTTGGATAATGTTTAGCAAAATTTTACTTGCATGCAGTATTAATAATATTGTCTGATGATTTTCTCATTCTGTTGTGTCACCTCTCTTTGGAATGGTCACAAATAGGGATCTCTTCCCTTCAGTTGGCCAGGTAGCTGTGTTCCAAATTTCTTGGCATAGATGAGTGAATACCTCCAGTGCTGTCTCAGTTTGTTGAAATATTTCAATTTGTATTCTATCAATTGCTGGTGTCTTGTTCTTTGTCAGTGCCTTCATTGCACCTTGGACCTCTTCCTTCAGTATCACTGGCCTTTGATCATATGCTAACTCTTGAAATGGTTGGACATAGACCATCCATTTCTTTTTGGTACAGTGACTCTGTATATTACATCTTCTTTTGATGCTTTCTGCATCAGTCAATATTTTTCCCATGGTGATGGTGGTGGTTATGTGCCGTGGAGTTGGTTCTGACTCATAGTGACCCTGTACAGGGTTTCTGAGGCTGTAAATCTTTATGGGCGCAGAAAGCCTCATCTTTAGCCCATGAAACAGCTGGTAGTTTCAAACTGCTGATCTTGAGGCTTGCAGCCCGATTCGTAACCACTACACTATTTTTTCCCATAGTAGCCTTCAACATTGCAAGTCAAGGCTTGAATCTTTTTTTCTGTTCCCTTATCTTTAGAAATGTTGAGTGTATTCTTCCCTTTTGGTTTTCTATTGCCAG